TACATCCCCTCGAGATCCCTTTTTGAGAAGGTAATGACCTCTTTCTATACATGTCGGGGTGTCTTCTTTGGACGATAATTATGTGACTCTGTCTGTCTCGCTCTCTGGGTGTAAGCTTTTTCTGGTAGAGTTGGAGTCACCNTTTACATGTCAGGGTGTCTTCTTTGGACGATAATTATGTGACTCTGTCTGTCTAGCTCTCTGGGTGTAAGCTTTTTCTGGTAGAGTTGGAGTCACCTCCTCCTCCTAACCNTATACATGTCGGGGTGTCTTCTTTGGACGATAATTATGTGACTCTGTCTGTCTCGCTCTCTGGGTGTAAGCTTTTTCTGGTAGAGTTGGAGTCACCTCCTCCTCCTAACCCTCCTACGATAGTTTGGATCTCATTAAGGGGTTACTAGCACTCTCGATCCTCCTGATTCTAGTCTAGTCGTGGAGCCGGCCCTCGGCCAGCAACGTACTACCTCAGCTGACCACGCTGGATAAGCTCCTCAATCTACTTCTTTAACTGGAAGTAGTTGTCAGTGTCGTGGCCGTGGTTGTGATGGAAGCGAGAATACTTGCTAGGATTTTTGCAGTTCGATTGGACTTCATTTTTTTTGGGCCAGCGGAGTGCAAGGTCATCCTGCATTTGGAATAGGATGTGCTCCACCAAGGCATTGAGATGCGTGAAAGGTTGTCGTTCTCTCGGGGGTACTAGACCGAGATAGTCCTTGACAGAGACTCTCTCGGTTTTCTTCCTCTTGTTCTCTACCTCTCGCTTGTCTTCGCGGGTGTCCTTCCTTTTTTCTCTCCTCGAGAGGACTCACCTTGACGGGCCTTGGTGACGTCCTCGGCGTTCATGTACTTCAGTTCCCTAGATAGCAGCTCAGGCATGCGAGAGAACGGCTTCTTGAGGACGGAGAATATAAAGTTGGAGGAGTGCAGACCAGCGATAAAGGCGGTCAGAGCTACCTTATCGTTTGGCTCCTCGTTGAAACAAGTGAGATAACTCTTGAGACTTTCATCCCTGTCCTACTTGATGGTGAGCAGGTAGGTAATAGGTTTCTAATGTCAACGTTAACCAATGAAATGGGAGATAAAAGATTTACTCAACTCCGTGAAGGAGTGGATAGAGGAGGGTTTGATCTTCGCGAACCATTGATGAGCAAACCCCTTCAAGATTATGGGAAAGGCTCTACACATGATCTCACCAGGCACGTTGTAGAGTTGCATGAGAGACTTACAACGATGTCTATGATTCAAGGGTAGGGGGTAATTAACGATGTTTGTAACGAATGGGGTATCAGTGTGCTTTACCAAGTAATTCACCATCTCGGGCGCCTGTGCATTGATGACATTAAGGGAATCACCGAGTTGGTTTTTCACCTCTCTGATCTTCTTGTCCCATTGGTTGGGGACATTCTTCGTCGGGTTGTTGTACTGGCTTCCATGATCGACATACTGACTTTCTTCTTCGTCCTCCTGCGCAAGCACACGAAGAGGGGGACACATGTGAGCTTCCTGCGCGCTGAGGAGGGACTGCTAGGCAAGGGACACCCTGGCGTTGCCCGAGGGCAATCTGGCGAGGGGCTCCATGGTGGGGAGCTACTTGGCACCCAGAGGGGATAGGCTACTATGCTTCTCCCATTGGAGAGAGTGGTGTTCCTCCTACGGGCTGAGTAGCGACACTTCCCTGGCGCGAGTATCAACTGAATGATTTGTTGGTTCTGGTTTACCAATAGCTACATGGTCTGTAAAAGTTGTTACCCGTTGACGAGATTCATCGTAGCGGATGGTTTCGAGGGTGCAAGGGGAGGCAGGCCCTCCACCCGGTGAACCAGGTTATTGTCACCCAGTTGTTGACTCATCGACCTAGTCGTGATTGTCATGGAACAGTAAGGTAGTAGAAAACTTAGTCATTTCCCATAGACGGCGCCAAACTGATGATGTACAAAACTGTCTCATGTAAGACCAACAGTCGTGTGTGATGTGGTATAATAAATAAGACAATTAATAAAGTAACCAATGGTAAAACAGTAAATATCAGGTCAACACACAGATATATAGTAGTTCGGTACGAGTGACCTACTCCATTCTTGAAAAACGGCAAGAGTAGCCGAGGACTCTTTATTGATGAATAAAGTAAGAGAGAAAGCTTCAGGAGAGATACAATAGTTAGAAGATAAAAGCTATGTGTGTGTAAAGAGGTGTAATGAGATATGCCCCTCAATGTGGAGAGAGCTTACAATTTATAGGTATGATGAGGTNGTTATTGTCACCCAGTTGTTGACTCATCGACCTAGTCGTGATTGTCATGGAACAGTAAGGTAGTAGAAAACTTAGTCGTTTCCCATAGACGGCGCCAAACTGATGATGTACAAAACTGTCTCATGTAAGACCAACAGTCGTGTGTGATGTGGTATAATAAATAAGACAATTAATAAAGTAACCAATGGTAAAACAGTAAATATCAGGTCAACACACAGATATATAGTAATTCGGTACGAGTGACCTACTCCATTCTTGAAAAACGGCAAGAGTAGCTGAGGGCTCTTTATTGATGAATAAAGTAAGAGAGAAAGCTTCAGGAGAGATACAATAGTTAGAAGATAAAAGCTATGTGTGTGTAAAGAGGTGTAATGAGATATGCCCCTCAATGTGGAGAGAGCTTACAATTTATAGGTATGATGAGGTAGTGAGACGGTGACGTAAGTATGAAAACACTACTTCGGGAAAAATAGTTACAAAAGATAAGTACAACTAATCCTTGTGTATCCATCCCAATGATCTCTCTCCAATGTGCCCATTCCTTCGTGGACTCCTTGGATCTTAGACTAGATCGAATTGATAAAACAGACTTGGGTTGCCCCTTAGCTGACTTGGCTTGCTTGATTTATTAGTCCTGACCCAGTTAGACTTANAAACTTGGACTGCCCCTTAGCTGACTTGGCTTGCTTGATTTATTAGTCCTGACCCAGTTAGACTTATGCTCGTCAACATTTATAAGTTACTAATAGGCCTTTAGTCTAATAGTATTAATAGGTCTTTAATTTAATGATATTAATAGATTTTTGATCTAATGGTTCTCCTTGTTCTGTAAAAACTTTACTTTCTTAAAATCAAGTGTTAAAGTCTCACTTTCCCTCCTTCCACATACACCCCCCCCCCCAAAAAAAAAAAAGTTATTAGTTAAGTGCATATTCATATGCAATAATGCAATCCAACTCCAACACATTGTTTGCTCTCTCTCTCTCTTGATATATATATATAATAAGATAGGATGAAAGTTGAATTTTTATCTTACATATTTTTCTCCAAAAAAAAATTACATCATCTAATTTTATCACATGTTCAATTATTTAATATTTAATTAATTTAAAATTTAACATAATTTTTATTTCATACATCATTCGTACACGATAATATACATGTGTTGAAAAAAATTTGTGCATCTTGAGAAAAATGACACTTTTTTTAAAAACTAATACGTAAAAATTAATTTTAAATGATGCAATCAAATAAACAAAAAAATAAAAAATTACAATAAACGCTCATTTTATGTTTCATCAAGGCATGAATTATAGCTTATATATATATATATATATATATCACAAGCGAAAAATGTTTATCACTGTATTACGATTTGCAATATGATATTATGTCAGAAAATTTTTAAAATACCGTTCCATAGAAAGGGGCTTGATTGATTTACATAGGAAATGAACCACCAAAATTAGAAAATTGCAGTAATTCCATATGGTATATATCTACCTCAAACTTCCACTTAACCGACAAGGTGATAGTGTTGACTAATCCATCTATCAAAGGATCTCCACCCAGCCAGGATCCCATTAATTGAGGGTGCTGAGAAGGGTACTGGATAGGTTAAACATTATTTGGGCAAATTGGGTACATTCAAATTGGTACCCCAAGGCCTCACCTCACGGTTTTTAGCTTAATACATGTATTACTGTTGCGTTGGCCGCTATTTTATACCTTCAAAAATTGGACCATCGATGAATGGAGTTTATGAGTTCTTTCAAAAGTTCATCACTCCATATATATATGACAGTCCAAGTGCCGAATAGCAACTCAAATATAAGTTTTGTTTGTTCTTTCGGTAAGTAACTCAAATAGAAACTAGAAAAACAATAGATCAGCTGTTTCAAACTTCTAGCATTTGAAACTGGGAAATAACCATTGCACCTTCTAACAACCATTGCATTGCCCCTTTGGACTTGAGATTGCGACTTAACCTCCAGCTCCGGATCACTCATGGCTGCTCTTTTCATTGTTTCATGCTTCTTGTTGCTGCTGCTGCTTTACGTTTCAGATACAAAAAATTTTGGCTCTGTTTATCTTTCTGTCTTGAGTGGCAGGTCTCTCTTCTTGAAATCTTAGCTATTCTGATCATAACACAATAGAATCTCATAGCTATTATTCAGAAAACATGAAACATAGGTTTGCATATTTGCCAAAAGCTAATTATACCCATCAACAATCAAGATAGGGCTCCGAACGAGATAATATATGGAATGCCCAAAAGCTCAAATGGCCTAAACCCATGCTTCGGATTACAAACTTGCAACTTTGTCATCTAAAACTAGTTTGCACAATAATTTATCCATACAATGATACAAAATCTGTCAAAGTAAATATTTTCGGCTTTTACATGTGTTTGACAATTATATCCATGTTCTACTAATCTGTTAGCTGTCTTCCTGCTTTACCTTTCCCTTGGCAGGGTTGGGGGCGCAGAAGGGGGTATATTCGATTTCTGGTGTAATATTGGGTAATTTGTACACAAAAGGGGAATAAATATAATAATCATATACTGCTCTTGCCATCAAAAATGATTTGCCAACTTGCTTACTGGGGCAGGGTGAACAATGAGAACTTCAAGATACATTGTGTGAGAACTTCAAGACACACTGTTTTGGAATCATAACACAAGGCACAGGCCCCAGAAAATTAGAAGCAGAAGATGGATATACCTGTTTTGAAAGAAAGTGATAAAGTTACTCTGTCCTTGTACGCTTTGAATGAGTTTGCCTCATCCAATCAATACATTCCTCTGCAGTCCCCGATGGATGAGCAAGCTGCCACTCAAGAAGTTTTTGTTGCTGCATAATATATCGTAAATTAACATACAAAATGCTATAAATCTTTTTGTGCATGAAAGAAAGCCTTACCCATTCCCTAACAAGTGGCCCTCCAGTTCTAAGCTGCAAAACACTCATGATATCCTTCCCATTGACCAGTGGTTTTACTTCCCAGATTTTCTCCAGACCTGCCTTTCAAAAACCACAAACCAAACATCACTCATGTCTTAGTACAATTGCTAATAACCCATGTCACATTGTGAACATCCTGTATTCATGATAAACTCCAACAAGATTTACCATCCAGATCAAGTGAATATTGGTGGCATTTACATAGACAGTAACCCGCATGTATCCAAGTCCCAACTGAGACTGGATCTCAATGTCCCTGTTTAAGGGTGCAGCAGATACCACTCGACCTAACAGCTCGTATTGTGACACTTCATCTTTGGCACACAGCTGTGTGTGCTTTATGAGCTTTGTTCTCAGGGCATGGAGAAGTTAAGAGAATATGTTTCTACAAATTCAACATGGATAACATGCTGGCTCATCAAATGAGTAAAGAGCAGATCTCTTAATTTACATGAAAAAAAAAAGGTGATTAATGTCATCATCTTCATAAAAAGAGCTATCCCTTTCTCATTTCCAGAGAACTGTCATCTAGGAGGCATATTTTTCAGCAAAGAAATCTAGATAGAGAGTTCAGGTTTACATCATGATCCTCCCTAGACGGTGCTTTTCTCTCTCTCTCTCTCTCTCTCTCTCTCTGTGTGTGTGTGTGTGTGTGTGTGTGTGTCCGAATGTGTGCGAATTAAATGAAGCACATTGTGGTTAATGTTGCCATAAGTGTCAAGTCATACATGAAAGACAAACCATTTCCTTAAATTAAATTTCCAATGAATGGGTTAAATTTGGCTAGTGTAACAAGGACTGAAAAGAAGGTTAGATATTTCCTGTGGGAAGGAGTTGTCAGGGGGATAGGAGGATCATTTGATCATATTGGGATAGGGTTTGTACATTTTAAGTTAATGGTAGTTTTTCAATACCAACTTGCCAACAAATGTGGCCTTAGTTGCAAAAACATGTAGCAAGAAATTTAACCTTAGTTGGAAATGCTTATGGAGATTTCTTTTGTAACAAATATCATTGCGAAATTCAATGATGAAGAGCAAACATAATTACAATTAAGTAGACAGAATGTTGATGGGGTTGTAAGGGGAAGTTTTCAACTGCCCATTGAAACTAATTCCACAGTGGTTACCTCAGTTTTCCCAAAGTGGTAAATTTGTTGCGGGCAAGATGTTTTGGCAGGATGTTTGGCTGGGGAGTCGTCAATATCATGCTTGTTTACTCATTTCTATCGTATTTCTCATGCTCATGCTGCTTCTATCACTTCTATGATTCATCCTAACTTTCAATTATTTTCTTGGGCTTTTCATTGCGTAGAAATCTAAGTGATAGAGATACAATGGATTTCGTTNGTATTTCTCATGCTCATGCTGCTTCTATCACTTCTATGATTCATCCTAACTTTCAATTATTCTCTTGGGCTTTTCATTGCGTAGAAATCTAAGTGATAGAGATACAATGGATTTCGTTTCACCTCTTTCTATGCTTAATGACAGATTTAAATCCTGGGCCATCTCATAAGAAGAATTGCGTTACTACTTATGTACACACCTATTCTTGTAGGTCTTTCTTCAAATTCTCAGTTAATGATCCTTTATGTCCACTGTTTCCCCATTCTTCGCTTACATGGAAGGCTAAAAGTGCATGTTTAGGTGCAAGTCTTTGCACGGACTATTTCTCATGACAAGATAAATACCAATAATATGCTTCAAAGGAGAATACCTCAACTTGTCTTTCGATGAAGTGGGAACGTTATATGTCAATGTGACAATCAAAATGTTGATCATCTTTCTTGTGTTGCCTTATTCCATTTTCTTTATGGAACAAGTTGTTTAACCTAACATGTTTAAGTAAGATGATTCCTTTATGTTCTTTTTCAATTTTTTGTGAAGCATTTCAGGGGTTTTGGGATGGACAAAAAGGGACTACTCCTTGGAATTATTGTATTCTTGGTCCTGAATGGGTCATTTGATCATTTGCCTCTGCCTTGGCATTTTACTGGTCACTGTGATAATGAAAATGTTCATCATCTATTGTTTTGTACCCTTCTTGCATTTTCCTTGTAGAATAAGTTCTTTAACATAGCAGATTTAAGAGATTCCTTGATCTTCTTCAAACGTCTATATTAAGGATTTCAGAGGTTTTTGGATGGACAAAAAAGGAATACTCTTTGGAATAGTGCAATTTTTACTACAATATGGTCATTTAGTTAGAAAGTACACTAGAATATTTGAAGATAGATGCAATGTGGTGGAAGCTTTATAGAATCGGATCTATTTTTAACACTACAATATTGTCTTTTGCTTTATGGTGGGATGGGAGCTTAATGTGATTTTTATAGTCAGACTCATATTTAGTTCAGGCCTACTATGTACTGTTTGTGTATGGTGTGATTTTGGATTGGAGGACTTGTCCACCTTTAATTCTCCCATATATTATACTTTTTTTCATTACTAATGTGGCCAACTCCTGCGAAAACAAGAGTCAAACTAAATATTATTATCTCAAAGAATGAGATCATTGGCATAAGGTGAAATACATCTTCCAGAACATTAGCTGGTTGAGTGCAACAATATCTCTATTAGGAAATTGCTCATTATATAGGCTAATTCCGTGGGGTAGCATTGTAAAGTTTCAACTTAAAAAAAAGAAGTCCAAACTACAAAGTCACATCAAGAAGACTTTCCAAAATCCTTTCAACCTTTAAGAAAAAGGTATATGACCTAAAGACCTTAGTTACCCTCGGCATTACTACTTTGATTAATTAGGTTAATAAAATGGATTTATGATATTTCTGTACATGACTCGTAAGCTTTTTACTGAAAATCATTTGAAACTTCAATGATTGTTTTGAAAAAAACATGTAAAAGAGTCATGGAAGGGATCCTGGCTAAGCAATGCCTCCTTGGTATTCAACGGGGCTAGTTTTTACAAGGTTTTTTTGCTTCAAAACTACTATGGATCTCCCTATGCTCGTTGGCCTACAACTTGAGTAGTCTATTAAACACTCGAGAAAAAATTGAAAAAAGTCAAAAGTAGGAGCAGCTGGCAGACTTCTCGAGCAGCCTAACCACAACTTGAGTGTTCCTTGACCAATTTTTTTTTTTTTTTNTTGCTTCAAAACTACTATGGATCTCCCTATGCTCGTTGGCCTACAACTTGAGCAGTCTATTAAACACTTGAGAAAAAATTGAAAAAAGTCAAAAGTAGGAGCAGCTGGCAGACTTCTCGAGCAGCCTAACCACCACTTGAGTGTTCCTTGACCAATTTTTTTTTTTTTTTAAAGAAGGAGAATTTTATTGATTAAACCTCAAAATTACAAGAATCAAAACAGAAACTGTTTTAAGAAAAAACAGTAGCTGTGTTTACAAAACTGAAAACAAAAAAACTGTTACAAACAAATTTTGTAACCGAAATTCAGTTAAAGAAGCAGTTACAGAAAAACAGAACAAAAACCTTGAACTGCCACCTGTACGCCTACTGCAACAGCTGATAAACCAGCTGCACTGCCCACCAACAGCTCAACAGGTAAACAGAAGCAAAACCACTGCTTGCACCAACCAGCAATTAGCTCCTTGCAAATCAACTCCAAATCAGTAGTCAGGATCCTCAGCTAAGACAGCTTAAAAATCCCATACCAGTACCTCAATAACAGCAAAGCATCAGCTGTTTTACAATCCAACTCAACCCTTATCATCAAAAATCATACAGCTCTTCCAGCACAGAACAGGAAGACTCCTCAGCGTTCCTTGATCAACTAGCCTGGAATTGTTCCTCTTTTCATTCTAGTGACCATCAGTGTCTAACGGCTTCAGTGGCCCCTCCCAAATTTGAGTTTTCTTAGCATCAAGTTGACTGTATTTATGAGGCCTATATATGTGGGCATATCTTTTCTCACTAAGGTAAGTCTCCAAAACCTAAAATCTGCTATATTTAACATTTAGATAGCTAAGAATTACCACAGATGATCCCTAAACATCCAAAGGCCAAAATCTACCAGATTGATCTCATGCTACACCTTCAAACTTAAAGAAAAGAGAGAAATCTTGTAGAATCACACCAACCATAGCGGTGTGAAGAAGAAGATCGTGGGATGAGTCCTTGAAGATCAAAGAGAGGAGAAGTCGAATCGAAGAGCTCGATATACCCTAGTGAAGCTAGTACTCAAGACCTTACGATAGTGAATCCGAAGGGAAGATTCAAGAAAGAAAGTGTTTAATCATGAAATTAGTTGAGACATAAGTCTTTGAGCTTGTAATCGAACATTGAGTAAAGTGGATTATGTTAGTAGGACTATAGTCCTGTGGTTTTTCATGATATGTTTATTTGATTGATCTATTATATATTATCATCTTTGTAGTTGTTGAATCGGTGGAAAGGCTTTGGGGGGATAAAAATGATGAATTTACATTGAATTGTGATTTACTGTTGAAGTAGGTATTCTTGCATCCACATTTATCCTAGGGGTTTTTGCATCAAAAGGGGTTAGTTGGACTCAATAAGATTAATCAATTTGTAATTATAGTATGTTGATCTTAATTGGGCATATATTCTGCATCAAGTGTGAAAGACCTATTCAAACCCCCTCTAAGGTTGTGCTAAGCTCAACTTTCATGTGTATAATCGTGTCGGGTGTGTTGCACACTCACTCACTCTCTAAGAACTGTTAATTTCGAATACATTCTCCATTTCATTCCCAACCAAAGGCCGAAAGGAGTGTGAGCAAGCAGTGTGATACACAGATAATGCAAGCAACCAGAAATTGGAAGACCACAAACAAGCAAAAATTGATTTCTTGTGATGGGCAATAAACGAGGCTTCACAAGTTTCTTCATAAAGCAAGCAAAAATAAACCTAAAAAATATTGGGGGATCAAAAGGGGTTAATTGGACTCAATAAGATTAATCAATTTGTAATTGACATGCATCGATCTAAATTGGGCATATATTCCGCATTGAGTGTGATAGACCTATTCAAACCAACCCCGCCCCAAAAAAAAAAAAAAAAAAATTGTGCTAAGCTTGGCTTCATTTGTATAACCATGTCAGGTGCATTCCAAAACACTCTCAATCTATAAGAACTGTAAATTCGAATACATTCTCCATTTTATTCCCAGCCAAAGGCCGTAGTATGCTACACACAGATAATGCAAGCAAGCAACTAGAAATTGGAAGACCACAAACAAGCAAAAATTGACTTCCTGTGATGGGCAATAAACGGGGCTTCACATGTTTCTTCATAAAGCAAACAAAAGTAAACCTAAAAAATATTGGGAAGGCAAAATACTTGAATCCAGTATGTTAGGGTATATTCTAGCATTTTGTGAAACCAAGGATTTTACAATGTCATTACAATTACAATTACCTTACCACAGTTGGAGTTTTTTCATGATCACTTTTCATGCTCAGAAAAACTAAGCATGGTATTAGCTAGCCATCAAATAAACGATTAATTCCATGCACGAGACTCCCATCACTGCGGTGTCTAGGGGAGAATTAAATGTAAATAACCTTATATATCCATTAAATATTTTCAAGGTCAACAAGGTGAATAAAATATTACCTAGTTTTATAATTGCATTCTCAACCATCTCAAACATTTCTTTTCTGCTGTCCAATCTGAAGTGCTCTTCTGAAGAATTTGCAACACAATCAATACTGGGAGGGTACAACCACATTGACAGCAATAGCGCAACACGCCAAAATTCTTTCATTTCTCGTAGAAGCAACCCTATAAGTGAGATTAAATGTTTAGCCATGAGAACAAATAGAAAAAACATCAAAGAAAAAAAAAACATCAAGGACATCACCTTAGCTCACTATGGTAAACAGCGATAGGAAAAAATGACTGATCCTCCCAAACCTCACAAAACCATTGGACAAATACAAAGAGCTAAAATTTCATCTTTAGATTATACTACATTAGGACCAAAAGCCCACTTAAGTAAATTGCAAACCTCTTTCTTTGTCACAATAATCTGACTCGAAATGCTCACTAATAACTTCAAGCCCAAAGAGTATCATGTCTTCTTATTTTTGTAATTGTCTCTTAATCTCATGACCACCTTTAAGCTTATACAAATAGAACCAACTTGTCCCTCTCTCCATTTTTAGGAATTTACCAACCAAACCATAAATATGAATTGCTTATGCCATGCTAAACATCCAAAATATATCACACAACTGATGAAGAAGCTTCTCATATTTTCCATCTCTAACCACTGGATTTGTGGTCACCCACAGCCAATACATGAATAGCAATGTTCCAACATACTGATCACCAAAAGAGTTCATCTGCCGAATGTGTCAGGTTTAGATAGCACATAAGAGATATCTAATAAAATAAGCATTAAAAATTGGTCCCCTTAAGTGGCTAACTGTTCAAGATATTAGTGAATTCCTTGCCTCAGTACAGGCTTTTGGCCCTCTGTCTCTGATTCATAATTGCAAAATTGCATTGAGGTTGCTTCTCATTTAATCATTTTGTGATTACTATCACCAATATGGTTTGAAATTTGGTCTCCTTAGGGATTTGGAAAGGTGGATGCCTTGAATATCCACTTCAAGTAACAGACCAATTAGAAACCCTATTGTATTAGGAGACAAAGTATTTTTGGTCTATATATAAATTATAGACCACTTAGTTTCTCTTGGAGATTTTGGCCCCTAATTTTGGGAATCCATGTTTGATTCTATTCTCTTGATTAGAAATTTTGTATGATTTCTCTTTATGAATAGCAAAACTTTGCCACTACGATTCGCTCGCACGTAAATTTGTGTTCTGTATTTTTTTATTTCATTCTATATATTTGTTTGTGGCCTTTCTTCATAATAAACTAGTATGAAAGCTGCAATTTCGAGATGACTACAACAAAATTCGATGTAAAAAAATTTGGTAGTCAGAACAGTTTGTCTATGGCAGATCCAAATACATAAAGTTGTTGAGGTGGAATCGGTTGACAAAAGTTTTTGATGATACGTTGTGATCACCGTTGATGGAGATTCTATATGTCTGCTATTGTGGAGAAGGCAACTGGAAAGTCCATTTTTGTTTTTAATGACTTGGTGGGCACACAAGTCAAGGTACAGATTTGTCGTGGAGGCTTGTGGTATCCCTTTATGGGAATTAGAAAAAGGTAGCTTGTTCATTCCCTTTGGTTTTGATGGATTACCAAAATACAAACTAAGATGGAGATTTGTTGTAGGTGTCTTTTATTCCACTCCTAGTAGGAAATTGGTTGAAATTTGTTCTCCTTATAGATTTGGAAAGGTAGATGTCTTGGAATTCCACTTAAAGTAAAAGGTCAATTAGCTATGAAGCATGGATACTTCAAAAGGGTCAAAGTATTAGTATCAGATATGTATTAAATATGGATACGCTTCCAATACATACCTGATATGGCTAGGAAGTATCCTATAATTAAAAAAAAAAATTGAATTTCAAATACATAGTGATACGTGGATGGATATGGTATAGGATACGACAGGGTATTATGTGTTATTTTTAAAAAAAAACAAGGGCACTGAAGCAAATAATGTTGGGCCTTTATTTGCAAAAAAAGAAAAGAAAACGCCCTAAGTGCCCTCCTCCCCTCAGACGAACATCAATACCCTCTTTTTCTCTCTCTTTCTCCACTCAGATGAACATTGCGCTGACGACATCACTGAACATTAACAAACCTCCCCCCGACGTCTCTCCTCCCTCCTAGTTCTGTAGTGCAACTTTGACAAGTCTCAAATCTCATCTCTACTGTCCCTGTGTCTAGTAGAATACTGCAGTGCATCAATCGGTGGGTACCTAAGCTCTATCCTCTCTTTCTCTCTATCTTTTTTTGGCCTTTCTATCCATGATTAGGGTTTGTTTGCACTTAACAATAGGATTTCTTCTTTCTTTTTTTTTTCGTATNCTTAAGCTCTATCCTCTCTTTCTCTCTATCTTTTTTTGGCCTTTCTATCCATGATTAGGGTTTGCAATTAGGGTTTGTTTGCACTTAACAATAGGATTTCTTCTTTCTTTTTTTTTTCGTATTGCATTTGCTGAATTATTTTTTTTTTTGTATTACATTTGCATCAATAATCAATAGTGTCCAAGTACTCTTTTTTTTTCGTATGGTGTTTGGTGTTTTAATTTTTGGATGTAGTTTGGTGAGGATGTTGATTGTTGATGGTTGAATTATTTTCCATATGTTGTTGGCCTGTTAGGTGCAAGGATCAAAATTTTATTTCGGTACATTATTTCAATTACTTAGGAAATGGAAACTTTTCGGCGTATTTCAAAAATATAATAAAAAAAAAAATTTAAGAATTATTTTTCTAAAACATTGGCCAAAATATACCAAAATATCTTGAAATACCTTGAAACATTCTAAAATAATCATGTAAATGCATTGAAACTTTACAAAACACCTTGAAATATTATGAAACGCCTCGAAATATTAAAATTTCGATTTCATCACCGATTCGTTTCGACCTCCTTGGAAACAGAAACGTTTCAGATATTTCGACCATTTCAAAACAAAATTTTGAGTCTTGATTAGGTGTTAAATTTTTAGCTTGGTGTTGAATATTGACTATTAAATTATTTTTATATTGTGTTGCATGTTGTAAATTAGCATTTTGTTTGAATGATTGAATGGTTAGTTATTATTATATATCTTTGATAGATGTAGGATTCACTTTTATAAATCATAATTATTACATTAAATATAATAATAATTTTCTTTTAAAAAAAACATAATTATATGGACATATCTTGGTTGTATCTATATCCTATTTTTTTAGATTTTGCCTTCATAACCAATTAGAAACCATATTGTATTAGGAGATAAATATTTTGGGTCTATAAACAAATTATAGACCATTTAGTTTCTCTTGAGGATTTTGGCCCCAAGTTTTGGGGCTCCATGTTTGGTTCTATTAACTTCATTAGAGAATTTTGTGTAATCCCCCTTTGTTGATAGTGAAACTTTACCACTACAATTCGGTCGTGGACAAAGGCTTTCGAGCCGATCCATGTAAATTTGTGTTATGTATTTTTCTATTTTGTTCTATATATTTGTCCGTGGCTTTTGTTTATAACAAACAACAAATATGGCATGAGCAGCATACAACATCATTATAGAGTCGATGGATGGTTGTCTTTGGGTAAACTCAAAGGTCGATGAATCAAAATTTGATCAATAAAATCACCGCCACAAATCGAGTTGGGTATTTTCTATTCAGTTTTGACTTCAAAAAGTATAAAGAATCCACACTAGACCAATGTTACCTGGATCGTGGGTCACTTTGGTACGTGATACTGATACGGACAGTGTTTTGAAAAGCTCGCCTAGGCGAGAAGCGAGCGGAGGCGAGGTTATCTCGCCTGGAGGACCCCAGGCGAAACGAACGTGAGCGAAGCGAGAAAAAAGCAAGAAAAACCGAAAAAGCGAACGCTTTATTATAAAAAGCGATTCTGCTTCACTTTTTTTTTTTTTTTTTCTGATTACAGGTTAGTAGTCTCTTTTATTTTTTAATCACTAATGACTTTTTGTTTAGATTATTGCTAGTCTATTTTTTTTTTTTTCTAATAAACAATATTTCGAACAAAACACATTCATTTGTTTTCCTTGTGTTGCTGAATTCATTTAGAATATTTGTGGGATGTGGGAGTCAGGCGACTGCACTGCATGACCATTATGATAAAAAAGGGAAGCAGGAGTATCAGAAATGGGGGTAAATAATAGATTCTTCTACAAAGAAGTGCCTCTGATATGTCTTGGTTATACTTTTCTCTTTTCTTATATATATACAAATGGTACCAAAAAGTGGTCTATGCTTATACCATGTTTAATTATTTTAGTACATGTGAAATGTGCCTCTGTTCTGCTTTTTTTTATTCAGTATATAATTACATATGAAATTGTTTACAATTGATT